CCCCCCCCCCCCCCCAGTCTCTAAAACTTGATCACATAACGATAGTCCAGGATTCTTTCTATTCAGAGTGAAGGCAAGTTACATCTTACGACACCCAGTGAATTATGATTTGGGGCTGTGCTTTCCTTTGTTCCAGCAATGATATGACCTATTTGCCTCGGACTATTACAGTATTTCAGAAGATGAATATTTTATGTTGAAAGAGGGGGCTCTTCTTTCTATAAATCATATAATGCAGAGGTGGGAAGGAAGGGGACTTTACATTCCAAATATTATTTACAAAGTAGATGGGAAGCCGGTATGTGAGTGTTCGTGCTTGTGTGACAGTAAGTTTTACTAAGGGGTTCCAAAACCGTGGACACCCGGTTACTTGAGAAAGATACACACCGGCAGTCGTGCGGATGTCTTTCCCGCCTGTGGGCCATCAGGTTCAAAAACTGTGTGGTGCATTTTAACGCGGCAGCCCCACCAGCTCCTACTGTTTTATCCTGATTTTGAGACTCACCTTCAGTCTAACCTTGCCGGCTGCCTTACCAAGTCCCATCCACGGGCCTCTTTCAACAACGAACCGATTTGTCGGCTCAGCAAGTCGGAAGGAGCAGAAAGTAGTAGCGGTGCGTCCTCTGCACTATAGCTCGGAGGTTATAATGCTGAACGTATAAGATGGAAGATACCACCGGGAGGCGGCGGGGATGCACCTCGCCAGCTCCAGCTCGGGTTTCCTTTTGCTCTCCGCGCCGGTCGGCGGGTGGCAACGACCACCCCCCAGCGGACTTTGTTTGGTTGAGGGGCGACGAGGTGGCGGGGGAGCAGAGCCGAGGGGCGGCGGAAAGTTGAAGAGCGTTTTTTTCGCCGCCGCGTGGGTTCCGGGGCTCGACGAGTCCGCCCAGGGCTTCCTGGTGGGGCTGGGCCGGCGGGGGAGGGGCCGCGCAGCAGCAGCAGCGGAAACCAGACCTCGGCGATAAGAGGCTGCACAGCGACATGCAACAGTCTTTTCACTGCAGCTGAATGAGTTGTGGCGCTCACAATGCTCCCGTGACCGGGAACTGACAAGTTCAATTTTAAATCGCGGGGCTCTTGGAATCATGACTCCCACAATGCCTTGGGCACTCGCTCGGCAGTCGGGCTGCCTCTGAAAAAAAAATGTGAGAGGTAAGTTTCCATTTTCACAGTTTGCTCGCGCTGGTCTACTGCTCTGCATTGTTCGTGTTCTGTCGGGGCTGTACATGGCTGAAGGAGGAAGTGAGAGGAGGCTTGGGCCGGCTCAGCACGCTGGATGGTTTCCTATCACACACCATCTCGAGCTAGAGGGAAAGCGGGAGGTTGCAGCTGCAGCCCAGCTGCGAGGAGCCCTTCCCTGGGCTCTGCGGACACTGTCAGCACTGCCAGCCTCCCACTTGGCAGCCTAAGAGAAAGAAAGAGAAAGAAAGAAGGGGGGTGGTGGCGGTGGCGGATAAAAGAAACAGGTGCGTGGAAGTGTACTTACAACTTAACGACCTTTGTCGGGGGGAGATGCGAGTCCATCAGATGGGAGCCACGGTTTCTCCCAAGAGACCCCGCATCCCTGCCCCTGGGGCTGCCATCCAGCCCCGTTTTCATCTGGGCCAAATATGTGCACGCAAAGGTTAATTCTCTGCCTGCTACCCATAAATTACGCATGACATGTTTAGCTGGGCTTCCTTATATGGAGAGTGCTGTATTTCAGTCCAGTTTGCCTTTTGCCAAGTTTACAGGGCGGAAGAAGCCCTGCATGAGAGGGCTCTTTTTTTTTTTTTTTTTTTTTTTTTCCCATCGTTTTGTAGTGCGTCACTCAAAAACTGTAAGAAAAGTAAGTATAGGCGCTCTCAGGGTGGAGCCGCAGTTCGTGGACTGAATTGCTTTCATGAAAGGTTGAAAAGAATGAAAAGTAGTTAGGACTTGGGTTCTGGTTTTTTAGACAAAAGCAGGACAAATATGTAGCGCGGCCCCCCCCCCCCCCACCCCTTTTCTTTTTTTAAACGGAGCCGGAATCTGTTATTGGTAGTAATGTGTCATGTGAGAATACTTTGATTCCAGAGCCTGTAACACGAGCAGGTATATGGTGGAGCTTATGCTTGCCCCTCTCACAGCACTTTACAACTACAGTGGTGAAGCTGGAAGAGTAATTGTGTTCTTAAATCTCTCCTGGGCCGGGAGAATATGCGGCTACTAGGATTCTGTGCTGTATTTCCGTGGAGTGCGCTTCCCTAGGATTAAGATTGAGTAGGAAGCTGCCAGAAAGGTTATTGCCACTGCCTTTACTTTGCGTGCCCACCAGCCCAGGCACAAGCCGATAGCAAATGGATGGCAAACTCTGCTCTACTCGGAGGAATTTCTCAAACAAATTAATACAGTGAGAGAGAAGTCATAATTAATGCCTTTGGATTTGCAGGCCGTCTGCAATGTGCTTTGAAATACTACACCAGTGGACACGGTGTTCCCCCGTCCTGGGTTTGAACACAGTGCCTGTTTATACCCAGAGGGTAGTTAGTTCATAACTATTCTGTACCAGCATAAGTGAGCCACTCCATGTTATCTCTGTGGGTTCCTGAGAGCGTTGGTGTTTCTCCCCGTCTTGCTGTTGAGATAAAATGTTATCACTGAGACAAGTTAAAATGAAAGTTCAAAGCCTGTAAAATTTATCCCAGGAATACTTAGTTCAGTCCTTAGAATGTCTTAGATATGGTGCTATAGCTGGAGACTCTGAATAAAGTTATTTTGTAGCCTGTGAAAGCACATTGTTGTCACTTGTATCTTTGCTTTCTTAAAGTTGGTGACAACTACAGTTCAGAACTGTGTTTTAGGAAATCAGCTTTCTGATTTTCATCAGTGTTGTGTATTTGCACGGGGGTGAGTTTTTTTTTGGATTACTAGTGTGTTGTTAGGCCTTCTTTCAAAAGGTAGACAAAGCTTTTAGTTTTATTTGTTTAACGGGGGGTTTCCTTGCAAAAGTTGCCTTTTGTGTTTTAAGGAACAAGTTGGGTCAGCACCAGAAAACCTGTTTATCCATTCGTCTATAATTACAGTGTCACTAAAGATGTAATAATCAGGTTGTACTATTACTAAGAGACTCAGAAAACCTCACATGTGCCTAGTTTAATTTTTTTTTCCTCACGTAACTAAGAACAAATTTGTGCGCAGATACACATCGTGTGTGATACTCTATGCAGCCATGCCAACAGAGAATCCAAAGTGTTTTATGGTTTGAGATATTATTGCTTGTGTTTACATTTCCACATTTGGGGCAAACTTAGACTCCAAGTTGAATTCATCAAATTTTGATTCCAACATTCTGTTCTTCCTCTGGGCACGGAATTCCTATGAAATGAAACACTGGGTTCTGTTCCAGAACAAGAACAGAATATCTCAAGGTTTCTCTTGGCGGGGGAGGGAGGGAGTAAAATCGTATTTCTGATTGAGGAAGGGTGTATTACTTTTTTATATAAAATTTCCTGTCTTCTGTAAGCAAAAAAAAAATCGCCCTTGCATTTATCATTGTCGCCATACATTAGGCCTGTATTTGATATATCTATTTATGGAAACAGAGAGAATAGCCTCTGCACCTTCTGGCTTTCTGCTTGGTGATAGAAGATGCAGAGATTAGAGAATATCTCAGATCTTGCTTAGAAGAAGATGAAGAGAATAGGTGATTGGGGTTTCTTACACTCTGAGGCATCAGGGTGGGCAGCAGATATGAAGGTCAGGGGAGCAGAAGAAGGAAGTGAAATATAGTCACTTAAATATCTGGTTCAATATAAAATCCTAATGGCAATACCAATCACAGAGGATGTTACATAGGGAGATTTTAAAGTGTGTGGCCTTTTAGGCCAAAACGCTTCATATTTTTGGAATCTAGAACATGCTGTCCGGTACAGTAGCCATTGGCCACATGTGACTATTGAGCACTTGAAATGTGGTTTTCTGGATTGAGGTTTGCTCTAAGTGTATAATACATACTGGATTTTGAACACTTTGTACAAAAGAGAGAATATAAGACATCTGACACTATTTTTTATATTGATTATATGTGGCAGTGATAATATTTTGGATATATTGGTTTCAGTAGAATATATTGTTAGATTAATTTCATGTGTTTCTTTTCACTTTTTAAAAAATACTGCTACTAGAAAACTTAAAATAACAAGTGTGGTTTGTATTGTATTTCTATTGGACAGGGCTGTTCTAGAATAACGCAAGAAAGCACCATTCTGGTAGAAAGCCTAAGGAGTTTGCTGGTCAAAACACAATAAAAAGGACTTTTATTTTTACAAGCTAAAGAAGTTTATTATACATAGGAATACCTCATCTTTCTTATCCATTGTAACCAAAATTTGAGAAAACACACCACCTAACATCTATTTTTGTATCCTCAAAACTACTATTTAGTTTAGAGATTTAATGGTGAGGTAGTAATAATAGAGAAAAGGCTTATAATTAGGGGATGAGTCTTAACACCTCTCAAAGGCCAGAATAGAGTATGATTGCTACTTAGGAACATTTTAGAGACACTATATTATCATTGTCCTGAAGTTACCAAACACAAACGAGTCACTAAAATTTATTTTAAAATAGAGTTTTCAGTAAATAGCAATTATCTTCAAATGCTTCATATATATTTTCCTTTGCTGTGACTTTCCACCTTTAGAGAATAAAACCCCAAATAAGTCCAAACAAACTCCTGACTGTATGTTAATCGAAGATTAATGAATTCACAAGAATGAAAGATTTTTCACCAGGAGGGAAGAGGGCGTTGTTGTGAATGTTAGGAAAGGTAAGAATACGTTTCTGTAGTAATGTTCTGGGCTTTGAGGAATTCCTATACACGGAGACATTGTCTTTATAATTTGAACACATTTTGAGAAAGCATCTGACTGGTAAACAAAGCACAATGGCCTAGGTCCTGGAAACATTTCTTTCAAATATTTTCAAAACTGAAGTACATTTTGCCATGCACAGTGAGTGTTAAACTGAAAAAAAAACGTGGTTCTTTTCTATCCATATAACATATGCTTACTTTTATTTCCTTGAAGGATACCAAAGATATAAGACAGGTTGGATGCAGTGAGTTCTTCTTTGGTGTGCGGGAAGGGAGCAAGTTTTATGGAGAATCTCAGAAGAGTTGCCTCCCGGCTTGGTGCCATCTTGAATCTGTCCCCCACCTACAGGAGGCATAGCTGCCATTAGTGTCAATGCATGTGTGGAACCTGCGGGGGACAATCATCCCCATTAACTTTGTAGATCATTTCTGATGAGTCATGGAGCAGATTCACTAATGGTTGGAGAATTATTGATCACAAAGCAGAGGATTCAAGAAGAGCTATTGACATAGGGCACTAAAAGTCTCTAGACGTATTTTGTATTTTTAGAGTTGAGGTAGGGAACTCGGGGTTTATGTAGTAGTGTTTTCATATTATAAAAATATACATTTATATAAGCATTACAGCTATATCCTTGGAAAAACACCTAGCAAATACGAGGTTATAGTTTTCTACATATTATTGTTAGTCTTAATGATTTCATTAGATCTCTTTCAGATAATTATTCATGTTTTCTGAGAGGCATCTTATCACTTCTGCCTGTGATGTCCATAAAAATGAAAAACCTTTGAAGAATTTATGTTAGAGTTTTAGGCATTCTGTATTTGTTACTTTTCCCACTATTTTTGAGATCTTACTCTAGGATTCTGTGGTGATCCTTTGTCAAAAAGAGTTCAGGATATATTAATCTCAAGATGAAATGTAGGCATATTGGATACAGTGGAAAATTACTTTTCCACTGAGATCAGTTATTTTAAAAAGGTGAAGGTATTTCTGAAATAAGTATCATGCTTCAAGTAGCGTATATGCTCCAAAGGAAAAAACTGTCATCTCTTTGGACATTGTTTTAAGAAATCGAGAAGTGTATCTTTCATATACCCAAAGAGGTGAATAATAGCTAATAAGGTACATAGTCCCATCAAGTGTGGATACAATTTGTGTGTGAATGTATATATGAAGATAAAACTTTTCCCAAGGCAGTGCCAATTTATTCAAATCACCTGGATATTAAATAACATAATATGATTAAAAAGAATTGCGATAACACCATTGTAAAGCAATTATACTCCAATAAAGATGTTAAAAAAAAAATCAACT